TATATATATATATATATATATATATATATATATATATATATATATAATTCATCGCAGCAACGATCCCAAACAGCACAGATCCCCACAGGATATCCTAAAGGCATCCTGAGAACATCTCCACCTCCTGAAGACATTCCCTGGAGATGCTGTTTGAGATATAATACGTTCAATCGACTGAATATTTGCTTGAATACATTTTGTTCATTCAAACAAGGTTTCATTAAGCAATCACTCTTTTTTTCTCAGTGCACTTGCAGTCGTGATTTCACTGAAAAACTCGCGCGTAACTCTAAACTCAAACATAAGTATCTTACTTTAAGTAAGTTTCAAATAACGACTATTATTACCATAATGTTGATCCCTCTATGTCATGTCTCTTTTTCTAATCGGTCACGATATCGCGCGCTCATCGTTAGCGGCTAATCGATATCGGAACGCATGTCCCGGCAATATTAATTGCACGTATATCGTGCCGCGCGCTCCATGAATCTCGATAAATAAACAAACGGGCGTTTGCAATATTCGCTGACCATTCCAGTTTCCGGAGCTCTAAGTGTTCAATGAAATTGCGCTACCGCGAAACCGCAAACGAGGTGGACAGAGGCTTTTCATCGTCGTGTTCGTCGTGAAAAGCTTAAAATGCGAGAGCATCAAAACGTGTGCCGATTTTTATCGTTATGCATCCCAAATACACCACGAAATATCTCGGCAACAGACCGCCGCGATAACGCCGTTATCCATCGCAATTTTTTTTTTTTTGCTTTTTTCTAGTAATGGTTCAATAACGACGTTATTTTGTGCAGTAACAGTAATGGATGCCGCCATCATTTGTATCGTTACTTTGTGCTTGTATCCCAGATATTATAATTGACATGAAACGACAATGCTATTATGAAAAAAAAAAGAAGAGGAAAAGGAAAGAGTGAGAGGACGTCGAAAATTGACGAACAAAGTAACGGAAATTGCGACCGCTCGTTTCTTCTTGAGTTAACGATAACGGCGACGGTCAGTAACGAGTTGCTCTTTCAATGAGTAACACGAGTGACGGTAACGAGATACTTAAAAAAAAAGAAAAAAGGGTAATTCCTTCCAATCCTGCGGGATATAAAATGTAGATTACGCTGAGAAAAAAATGGTCGATCTAACTAAGATTACAACTATCTTGTGCCCTAATCATATTTTTTGATTGTTTCAACAGGAAAATGGTAGTGGCAATATAAAATTCTTATCGCTAACATTACAGCGGAACTTAAGTAACATTTCTGACCACAATTTGTATTATTTCTCTGGTACGATTGATAAATAATAATTATTTCTCTGAAACGTGATTATGCTTATAGAAGTATCGAACGTTTCTTTCTCAGTGCAATGAACGTATGTGCGCGCACGCACTCACGCTACATACCGGTCTGCGATATGTAAAATATCGGCGATCCGTAACTTTTAAACGAGATTACTCCGGGCAAGTGGACGAGGAACGTGAATTTCGCCGAAATCCAATTTGCAAACGGGATTAAAAGGCATTCATCGCACAAAGCCCAAGTTTCGTCCCAGCCGCTTGATACCCGCGTTTGCGCGAGCAGCAACTCGGCAGGACAACAAACGGAGAAAGCCCAGTTTCTCCACCTAGTTCGGAGGCTCAGTTTAGACTACTCCCTCATCCCCGTATTTGCATTCGCCAGCAATCGCGATTATTGTCACGTCGCTTCGGAAACAGCACTACTCGCTGTACTGTGAGTCGAATGGAAAAGTATCGATCGACCGACGCAACGTGTCATGAAGGAATATTCATCAACACTGTAATTAGCCTTGTGACACCTCCGTGTCTCGTTAAGCCACGTGAGAGAGAGAGAGAGAGAGAGAGAGAGAGAGAGAGAGAGAGAGAGAGAGAGAGAGACGTAAACAAATGAAATATGTGAGCCATGAGGAGCCAATGAAATCACCCATCAATTCTGCGTGGTGTGAAAATCGCATGCATTTATCAAAAGGTTTTACACGCAAACTTTAATGCAAGCTGTTGAATTTCAGTCGTGCACGATAATCAATCTATTGAGTCAAGCAAGTCTGTTTTAGTCAATTATATTTGTTTAGAGAGTAAGATAATTAATGGGCCGCAATTTCTGAGCAAATATCGAAAATGTAATATCTCGACTAAATACCTGAGAGAAACGTAATTAATTATAACAAATGAAATATGTGACCCATAGAGAGCCAATAAAATTGCCCATCAAATATATTAATTGTGAATCACATTTATTTATCATACTTTGTGACATGCAGACTTTAGTTGAGCTATTAAACTGCAATCACGCAAAATAGTTATAGATTTGTTTAATCAAGCAGATCTACTTTAGCCAATTAGATCGATCACAGAGAACAAGATAATTAACGGGCCGTAATTTTCACAGAAATATCTTTAAATTAAAATTTATTCATCGAGATAGTTTAAAATCCCAATCGCTAGTAAACTCTTTGGGATATCCAGAGTATGAAAAGTCAGTTAATAGCAGCCAGAACCGCAAATGTTGATCATTTCAATCTGTTGAGAGGGAATAAAATGAAGATGAAAGTGTGCGATTTTTCTCGCCAGAAACTTCCTTCGATCCCATCTCCGTTACTTCTTCAATCCTTGCTTCTCGCGTTTTAATCATCTCTACTCAGCTCCCTCTCCCGCCTTAATTATTGAAAGTAAAACTGATGTTAAATCAAGTAAAATTTACAGAGCAACGAAGTTTCGTCATTTATGTATCTCAATGGCGGGCTCGCCTCTTCCAAACTTCAAACATTAATACATTTTTTACAAGAATCATTAGTCTCGCCCTTGTCGCGCGACTTAATTGTCAGCGATTAAAATTAAAAATTTACTTAACCGTAGAGAATATAAGTCGCGCGATCTCGTCTGAAATTCCTTTTCGTTCGCATTTCGATCTCGCGTTGATGTTATATCAAATTTTCAAGAATTTGCATTACATTTACATCGGAGTATCTCGGATATCTTCCCTCTGTCCATTCCTCAACCTCTTTCTCCCCGAAAAATCGCGATCCTCTCACACGCACGTCGCGAATGAATACTTCATTATTCTTCCCCAGATATCGTTTTGAACTTCAGGACAACGTACGTGAGCAGAAAAGGCGAAGTAGTCAGCAATAGCAGGAGCATCGCCGTGAACTATGTGAAAAGTTGGTTCTTGGTCGACCTCGTGGCGGCATTGCCGTTTGATTTTCTCTATGCCTCCGACGTTTATAGCGGCGAGGTAGGTATTTTTCATTCGTTCAGCCGAATAAGTCTGTGTGTGCTGGCTTGTTAGCAGCTTCTGCAAAGAGCAGCGGGTGATTTGTAAAGAGCGGGATTGCGATAACTTCTCCCGTAACGTTGAATTTGCGATCACGAAGAGAGATTGATTTCAAAACTTCCCCGCGTCCCGACGCAAAGGGGGGTTTTTGTCCTTTTGATGCCCGATCTAATTTCATTTCTCGCAAACCGCAAACGACCGAATAATGGCGCTTATTTCCGACAATAATGGCGGCCATTTGGTTAAATAATCGAGCGAGCGGGACATTCAACATAGGAAAAGAAATAATTCGTTTGGATTAATCAAATATCTGGTGAAACACGAACGAACTAGAATTATGTTCAAGTTAACAAGCTTCTGGTCCGCTAAACAAGATTTCTGGCCAACCAGAACTTGCAGTTGCAGTTGCTCAACTTGAAACGGTCTGCGAGCCTTCGGTCGGAGAATTTTCGCAGACAGCGAGAATTCGAAAATGCTATAAATGGACAAGATAATTAATTGTTCGTGCAACAAAGCGTGTAATCATCACTAATTATATAGGAATAAGTTATTAGCAGATTACACATAGGAAAACTTGAAAGTAGACTTTCTTTGCCTGTCCCTTTCTCCCCTTCTCTTACCTTTTATCTTTCTCTTTATGTATCAATCACGTGGGAGTAAAATTGAAAAATGTGACACTAGGAAGACACGTAGATCTAACTCGGATTATTTGGAATGTTACTGCGACGGCACGGAGAAATATATACCGTCGGGTATTCGGGTAAATGTTACCGTGTCCCAGTATCAGTTTTGCGGTAATTAATAATTCCGAGTTTCCGCCGTCCGACCAAGTGAAGTTAAGCTGATTAATTCGTCCGGTGCGTAATCGAAAATCGATATATCTTGTGTCAAAATATATCCAAGATTAATACAATTTATAGTAAACTATTTTGCGAAAGAAGGAGAGAGAGAGAGAGAGAGAGAGAGAATAGAGACTCTATACAGTAGAATCAATATATTTATTTACTTTGGAATAACTCACTTATGATTTATATAGTATATGATTTGTATAATAACGCATAGACTCGCATAAGCTACACTAAAAAAAAATGAAGAGAAGAGAAGTCAAGAAAAATTAATCATATAAACTAAGGTGCATTTAGAGAATTTCGCTTGCAAAATTTTTGAGAAAGATATATGTACATATTATACGTATTTGAAAGAGAGTTCGTACATAAGCGGTTCATCCACGGTTCTCAACAGCCGTTCAAAATATATATTATATGTTTATTAATTTTCCAGTGAATAAACACAATCGGCTTTTTCCCTCGGTCGGCGAAACGCGTCGGATAAACGTGAAACCTGTTGACGATTCGACGACTTATATTTCAATTAAATTCGCGCTTTAATCGCGCGCGCGGATTCTCCCGATACGAATCGCGTAGGGCGCGATAAAATAACGAACTTTTGTTTCTGCTCCGCAGGAATCTGCGCACAGCAACATTCACCTAGTGAAGCTCACGCGACTGCTGAGACTCGCGCGACTCCTGCAGAAGATGGACCGATACTCGCAGTACAGCGCGGTCATCTTGACGATGCTCATGCTGTTCTTCATACTGGTGGCGCATTGGTTGGCCTGCGTTTGGTACGTCATCGCCGAAAAGGAGAGACTGCGAAACGACAAGGACTGGGATCTGGGTGAGTATCTCGAGGAGCAAGTCTCTGAACATCCCAACGCCTCGAATATCCACGTGCAATCGGTCGGCGAGAGTAATCCCGGAAATAATTCGAAAGTAATTCAATCTCGTGGCTCACTCTCGAAATTTCTCCGAGCGAAATTCCGTGCGAAAAGTAGACTGACAGAATAGTCACTGAAATTTGAGTGACCCTCTGTTTATACAGAGTAAATTCTCCGAATTGTCGAATAAATATTTTCACACGAGATAAAAGAGTGAAGTTGATGCATCGAAGTTATGCAATAAATAATTCCGACTTTTTCAGCTATAATAAAAAGATTATGTATTTTTATATCGTTACAATTCGAGCAACATGTGTAATAATTTCACATATACTGATTTTATATTGCTACAATTTTAGCAATATATGCGAAGAATGATAGAAAAATACATGTTAAAACTGCGTCAAACATTATTTTATAAAATTGTGGCGATACATTTCACATGTCTCTATTCATTCAATCTAATTTTTATTTAATTTATATAATTTATCCAATCTAATGTTAATTTTACACGAAGTAAATGTGCAAACAAACCACATAAATAATATGTCGGAAATTAAAGCAGACATGATATGTTATTTTAACGTTAAAAAATGATGAATATGAATTCGCTGCAGAATAATTAACACAATGACAATATGTTGAATTAATATATGGGTATTTTGAAAATTTAACTCAAAACCTTCTGCACAAATCGATTTCAGCACAGAATATTTTTCATCGTTATATATTTATCGTTATATAATCATTATATATATTTCCTGGGAAATCCAAAACTATTATTTGATCCGATATTTGATTTGTTTTATTGGAACCGGTTCCTCTAAATCCGAGTGAATTTCCACTCGTTTTAAACGATATTTCGCTCCGGGAAATTTAAAGAGTACACACTCGTACGGTATCATAGGAAGTTCTTGAAGCGCGCGGAACACTCCGTGCATGAGAGCAACCGGTAGTTCTTGCCGTCGAAATTCTTTATCGAGAAGCCAAGCAAATGTCTATATATCGGGAACAATCCGGAGTTGGCCTTCGTGAGAGTCGTAAGAATCGCAAGCATCACGCTATTCTTTTCGCAGAGCGAGAAGGAGAGGAGAGAGCACGTCCGCACGCTCGGTGCAGTGCATCGCGCGAGATTTGTAGCCGCAGCAGATCCCATCGACATGAGAGAGCTCATGCATGAGATTTGTAGGCATTGCTTTCCGATAGTTGAGAAACTGTTCTACCGCGTGGCAATCGAGGAAATAGATAGATAGATAGATAGATAGAGAGAAAGAGAGGGAGACCTGTAGCGGACAGAGATGCGGCTTCACCGTCAGCTCTGACGGTTGATTCCTGATAGCGATCGTGGCTTCTCTATCTTATCTGAAAAAATGTGAAGCCCCAAGTGGAGTATGCGAAAATCAATGCTGCGCGATCACATTTTTATTAAATTATACGAAGAGTTACGCGCGTGAGAGATAAGGACGAGTTCGTCATGTTTTACAAAAAAGATGAGGCGGAGAATATTTCTCTTCTGCCGTGTTACTTTTTAATGATAATTTCTTCGGCTTGAATTTTCCTGGCTAAGACATCGATAATTTTCAAATTATTAGTGTTTGAAAGAGAAGAACTTTGCGCGAACTAAATCTCCACATAGATATCAACACTAGTTTCTTCAGCTGACCGTTCACTGAAATACATAAATAAGCATATTTATCTCCTCTCGCATTATTTTTTAATGGCATTCTTCAGCCAACTTCGAAGTTGAATTTTTCGCAGCAAAAATGTCGAGGCACACCGATAATTTTCGAATTAAAAGCTAAAACTTTTCGCAAACTGAACTTCTATAAATACCGAAACTACGTTTTTCAGCGGAGGTTTCAAGCGGAGTTTACATTAATAAAACTTTAATTTGAGACTTAGTCGCGAAAATATATAACGTAAAAGATAGAACAATTACAAGGAGCGATCATGTCCCTCGATTTTCTCGTCGAGAGGGAAATTTCATTCCCCCGGAGTGTTCTCTATTACGGAATAATGCACTATGAAAACGCGATCTTCTGTGTTTAAAATGGCGAGAATTCGCGAAATTTTCAGCCGTCTATCAAGAGATGAGTTTCATCCCGACGACTTTTCCGCGAAGATTACCGTGACGGTATTTGGTTATAAAACGTATACCAAGCAGCGTCCGTGATGAATGGTCGGTTCGTCCTTGTTGTGCGAACCGCGGGCCGTATGGGAGAGAACGCGGGACGCGAAGCGTTTCTCGCGGAAAACGACGTATGAGCACGAAATACCGGGAACGACCGAAACCTCGGGATCGTATAACTGACTTGTTCCAGGTTGGATACACACCCTGGCCGAGCGGTTGAAGATATCCGTGCAGAACGTCACGCACACGGAGAGTTACATCACGGCGCTCTATTTCACTTGCAGCAGCCTCACCTCCGTAGGGTTCGGCAACGTTTCGGCGAACACGTTCTCGGAGAAGTTCTTCTCCATCTGCACGATGCTGATCGGCGGTGAGTCCCGGCTTTTCGCGGCCGAACATAATATTATCACACTGCAAAGCATTCTTGTTCCATCAAATCAATTTATTCACACTTCAGCTTACAGCCAAGAAGTAGAGACTTAGTTTACAATTCATACCTTAATTCACACATCCATCCCACATACATCTCTGCCATCATTCGTCTCTATCTAACTTAATCTAATCTCTTCTAAATCTACTCAATTCTAATTTTTTCATTGTATCTCTTCATCCATTATACTTTCCATCTATTTATCCTTTCTTCATTTTTTTTCTATTAATTCCGCAAAACATTCTTATTGTGTTACGTTCGTTTGTTCACCCATTTATTTATTAAGAAAAAAATACATAAGAAAGAATACATAATAGCACACTGAATGTTAATGAATGTTAATACGAATAAGTTAGCAAATCCGGAGGAAAGTATTCAACGCGTATTTCTGCCACTCTGTCAAACATCATTATCCTCCTATTCTAACTTATTCACGTTAATATTCTGTGTATAAGCTCTTAATATATAATTTAGTTTATTCGGAAAGGAAGAATTCCTTTTGGTGTATTAAGTGTATGAAAATTTATGCTCGGAGAGAGCCATGTTGTAAAACCAATACATACTAATAGATCATAACAGGAATTTAATCGATAAATTCCTGAATACTTAACGAAGAACAGTCAAAATAACACAACAATATATCAAATTAACATACAAATATGTGAAAAATTTAACACAAAATCTTCGACATACACCGATTTCAACACGAAAAACAAATATTCGAAAATCTACTTGTGAGAGGTACAAAATTTACTCACAGAAATAAACTTTTTATTTCATAAATAATTTTGAATAAATTAATCAATAAATTTTTTCTCAGTGCACAAATACAAAATATTTGTTTCATCATAGGTGTATGGAAAAGCTTTAATTTTTCTCTCTCACAGATTTTCGCTTTATTTTCATAATATACAGATCGTTATTATTAAATCATGTAACATGATTTTATCATAACATGTGATGTTTCATAGATTTTGATACGAGCTTTTCAAAACGCAAAAATATGAGAATTTATTTGAATTTTGAATAATTATACCACACAGAGAAAGAGAAAGAAAGAGAGCGCTGAAAAAGATGATTGGCACACAGCTGATATTAACAAGTTTTTAAAATCGTTATCGCACGATTTCTCCAACACTCGTTCTTCGGCGCATTTAACGCGCCAACACACTCACGCTCACTCACGTGAATCGTACAGATAATTAAAAAAATTAATGGCTCATAAGATATTCAATCAATGTGCAGTGAATGCGTGGCAATCGGAGCATTAGTCCGCAATTCGCTCAGAATCTCCCGGGAGAACGAAGTCAAGGCGAGTTTCCTCGCCAAACTTTTTTCAGCTCTTATTTCCACCGTCTTCTCCGATCCTCTCTGTTCCCCTTTAATTATCTTCATTCAAACCTCCCTTCCACCTCGAGTATCGCACGCAAAAAATTAATCTCTCGCGCGAAGCCTCAATCAAAACCTCATCAATAAATTGTCGTTGAACGTGCAATTAATTCACCTACGCTCTTTCTCCCCCGACATCGTCGAGAGCAGGAACTGTTTCTCCCACGTATGTCGAATAACATATTTCAAAGATATTGTTATGTGTGCAACGTGGAAGACGTGGGAGGTGCGGGGGAAGCCGAGCATCCTCGCATTGCACGCATACGATTTTGCGTTCCAGCCCTGATGCACGCGGTGGTATTCGGCAACGTCACTGCGATCATTCAGAGGATGTACTCGAGGCGATCGCTGTATCAGACAAAGCTGCGCGATCTCAAGGACTTCCTGGTGCTGCACCAGATTCCGGAGGAGCTGAAGCAGCGGATGCAGGATTATTTTCAGACCATGTGGTCGCTGAATCACGGTATCGACGTGCACGAGGTGAGTGCAGTTCAACACACACGTGCGAGCATGTTTAATTCGCGTTGGCGTTTTTCGATTAAAACGCGTGCACGCGCGATAAGCGAACGTTGTAATAAAGTTACAGTATTATAATTGCAGGAGAGCGAGTCGTTTTATGCATATATATATACATATATATAGTTAATTCGACGATATTATATTTCAACGTAGGAGGGAGAAAGAGAGCTCCCGCGAACGCGATATCGTATTAATATTAGCAAATATTAGACTAACGCGAGGAAGAGAGAATGAGAGGTGGCGAGGAGGAGATAAAATGAAATAAATTTTGTTAATAAACGTTCATTATCGCGAAACGCGTTGCCGCCGCAGACGCTGAAACAATTTCCCGAGGAGCTGCGTGGCGACGTCTCCATGCATCTTCACCGCGAGATCCTGAGCCTGCCGATATTCGAAGCGGCGTCCCAGGGTTGCCTGAAGCTGTTGTCGCTTCATATCAGAAACAACTTCTGCGCCCCGGGCGAGTTTCTCGTGCACAAAGGCGACGCGCTCTCCTATATATATTACCTGTGCAACGGCTCCATGGAGGTCGTGCAGAACAGCATGGTAGTCGCGATTCTGGGTAAGCTAGAGAAGTGATTAATACCCAACCGCGTAGTTTAACCCGATCCCGATCGCTCGATCGAAAGTTAGTCACCGTTTCATCGTCGAGTTATTCGCGTCGAGTGTATCGCAGCGTTGCGTGGAAAAAGTGGATTTGCAATTCTGAGTCAATCCCGTAAAGGCTACGATTGTTTCACAGGCCTTTTTAATTGAGAGGAGTTCCATTTATCTCTTAGCGCTTACGGATTAGTGTTATCTTATTACAAATGTGCTCTCTATAGCAAATTTTAAATTAAATTTAACAGATTACACATTGTGTTAACGATTAATTTATATTAACAGTATATTATTCCGATTTATCCAATATAATTTTTGAAAATTTTGGAAATTAAATTCAATCATTCATCATTAGCATCACAACCTAGTGCGGGTCTCGGCTTCCTTTTGGAAATTAAATGTGGAGAAATATAAAGATAAAATTATGTAAATCAAGTGAGATTTTATTCAATAACAAAGTAACGTTCATAAAAACAAAGGATAACAAAGGAATAAAGGATAAATGGAACACTGGCCGCAAGTGGGTTGGCATTATAAGAAAATGCACAAAATCATTGCATCTCATAATGAAAAGAAATGACGTGAATTCGTATCTCCAATATTTGACGCTAGAAAACAACTTTTTGTTTCTTCTTTTCGCTTTTCTATCAGGAACAGTGTCAGTCTTGTTTGTTGATTGAAGAAGAAAATTGTATTGCACGATAAAAAGTATCGTCCTAATTTGCTATCTATGCACACAATCGACTTGATTGAAATCCTATTATTCCTCTCGCTGCTCTGTGAAATCATATTTTTTTATTCATGTCACCTTTCCACGCAACATGCGATATCTTGTTCTTCGTATCCTCAGCGTTCTTTTCTGTTTTCAGTTATTTCTGTTCACTTCTCTTTCGCAACGTACACAATCTCTCCATCTATGTCACCTTATTCAAAGAAACGTTCTCAGAAAGTTCACTGCAGAAAGAAAATAACAACCTCTCTCATTCTTCCTTGTCCTCCGATATCGCCTCAATCTGGAAATTCAACGAGTCTCCCAGCGAGTCTCGAATTGATCCAAATAGGCTCGCGATTTCTCACGAAACGACGCGCAATTCTCGCGAACGCCGTCACCCTCCGACGTGTGTCTTTTGAAGGGAAGGGCGACCTGGTGGGCTGCGACATAAACGTGCACTTGCAGCATGGCAACAACGGCGGTGGCACGTCGGGCTCCGGTTCCGTGGACGTTGTGGTGAAGTCCAGCTGCGACGTGAAGGCGCTAACGTACTGCGACCTCAAGTGCATACACATGCAGGGCCTGGTGGAGGTGCTGCGGCTCTATCCAGAGTATCAGCACGAATTTGCGAGCGATATTCAGCACGATCTTACGTACAACCTGCGCGAGGGATATGAGGCGGAGGTAATTAGCTCCACGTTACTCCCACAGGAGACACAGCGCAGAAGCTGTCGAAAGCGTCAGGTGTCGCCTCGGTTACACGGTAACACGTCGGGGAGATTGCAGCCAGCTACCCCGGCGAGAGCGATCGAAGGGAATCTATGACATTTAAATAATTGAAATATTTTTAAAGCCCCCGTGTGAGGGGAAATTATTCGTGAAGTGCGAGCGAACGAGCGGATACGTGAACGCGTTTGAGAAATAACACGCGTGCACGATGGCGTTTCGATGTTTACCCGGACGCGTTGTACGTTAAAAAAGAGTGGGGTGGATAACGCGACTTTTTTCGCGCGCGGCTGTCTATGGAGGCTTGATGTAGATTTCTTCATTTGTCTGGCGAATTTATCTGAATTTGCCTCTCCGTCTCTCGCGCAAATTTCAGCAAGAATCCGATATGAATGGCCCGTCGTTGACACTTCCCTCCATCAGCGAGGACGACGAGAACGCCGTCGAGGAGGGCGAGTCCTCGCCCTTATCTCCGCCGAACAAATCACCACTTCACACATCCTCCAGCCCGCGACATGCCAAGTTCAGGTAAGAGTCTTTGCTTGCAACGTTGAGACAGAGTCGATGTGCATCTAAACCTGGCCTTTCCGCCTGTCGCGACAGATGTATCAGATAAATCCTACGTAACTGAAATTCGCGATACGCGTCACGAAATAATTCGCCGGAGGAGCCGAACGAGGAAAATGTTTGACTTGGCAACGTTCGAGAGAGACATTATTTGCTTATTTGATATTTCAGATTGAAACTTTTTAATTCGTAAAAGAAAATATTTTAAAAATCCATTTATGTGCGCGGGATATAAAGTTAATATTTCTGTGAATAAATATCCCACAAATCAATTTTCAAGTATTTCTTTTCAGTTTAAAATTGGATGTCGACGAGTTTAATCGGAACCAACGATCATCCTTTTTTCTTTCTCTTTTTTCTTTAGAAGAAACGAAACAAACCAAAGGAGAGAGAGAGAGAGAGAGAGAGAGAGAGAGAGAGAGAGGGTGAATGAAATTATAGAACTTCTCTTATAAAATACGAAAAAGAAAAAAGTTGAAGCGGCGAAAGCATGTTAGATAAATGATGGCAGGATAAAAATTTCGACGGCACCGCGTAAAAAAGGCGGGATAATGGATAGCCCATGAGCGAGGGTAGAAGAAAGAGAGACGAGAGAAAAAAGTTAATCTGGTGTGGTACCTGAAGCTTTCGCTTTTCCACTTTTTCCCAGCTAAACATTTTTTTTCCTGCGTTACCCTACTTCTTCGAGAGAAGGGCAACGTGCCGTTCTGCAAGAAATAAAACACTCCCGAAACAAAACGCCAAGAGCTCCCGCCAGTTGTATATATAAAGATATTTAAACCGTTATCGGCGAAGCAGCTGTTTCTCTCTCTTTCTTTCTCTTATAGCGATACGAGATATTTTATTGATTATATTAGGTTGATGCAAAAGATATGTCGTGTTTATCAAATAAAACAGAAAGCAAAATTATCCGGTTTCAAAGGACCAATCATTTTTACGAATAAAATAAATAACGTCAAGTTGGTATTTCTTTTACATTGAAAAAAATGTTTGAAAATTTACTTATGGAATAGAAAATTTATTTTCGTGAAATAATATTTATTTCTGTGAAACAAAATTTGTTTTTATGAAACAACATTTATATGCCATAAATAAATTATTCAGTATTTTTTTCCTGCGCATCGAGGACTTTCCATTTTTTCCTCTTCTTTTTATCCATATTTCTCTTTATTTGGTTATCAAAATTTCTACGGGAGTTTAATAAAAAAAATGTCAAATCTCCCGCATCAATCTAATATCGTTTGAGTGTCCGGCAAAGAGAAGAAAAAAAAAGTAAAATAAAGAAGATATCGCGAAAGACGCGCTCGCGATTGCGCCTAGCCTGTTCTCGAAAAGGAAGGAGAGAGATCTTCACTCACGGAGGATGAGGAGGGGGAGAAAGGGCGGAAGGCAATGTGATTTTCCGCTCGACGAGGCACAGGATACCCGAAAGTCTCGCATTTTATCGGACTTGAAATCCTGCCTCTCGTCCTCCCCGTATCATCGACCCCAGCCGCGTCGACGACATGTAATCCACTTGCGAATTCCTCAGTGCGGAATTTTCGCGCCGTCGTCAATTGCGACGTCGAACTCACATGCTACGCTCACACGCGCGCGCGACATATGACGGATAAGATTGATTTCGTTTTGGCGCATCAGGGAGGATTACAGAGAAGGCCGACGCACCGCGAGAGGAGTACTGGTGCGAGGCAGCAGGGCGGCGCAGGTGATTGCCCAGGAATCCATGGAGGAGCACATCCGGGGTTCGGTCGAAAGGCTGGATAATCAATTCTCCACGTTGCATCAGGACGTCGCGACGCTCAGCTGCGAGGTACGTACCCGGGATCGATGGTTGGCATTACTTACATTACACATATCATTACGCATGACGATCTGGCAGAAAAGCGACGCTGTAAACGCGCCATTTAACTGCGGTATCCGTTTAACTATGCATACGACGATTTGTGCTGCGGAACTCGCAGATTCGGAACGGAATTTTACTCGTCCGAAGGGGAGACGTACGCATATATGTGAATAGCTCTTCAAGTAGTTTCTGTATTGTACGACGCACGAAATACAGACAGACTTTTATCCCGAGCTCCATCGCGAAAGCGGGTTTCGACAATTTATTTATCATTGTTAAAAAGGGATAAAAATATAATGTGCTTAGATTGTATTTATTGTATGTATTGATCTTGATTTACTTAAATTATTGTATTTTCTTTTAACTCACAACAAATACAAGTTAAATACATTTTGTATTCTATTTCTCAAAGTTTTTCAAAGAAACTAACAATGAAAAAAAGAGAAATCTAAGTATGCTTATTAAAGAAAGAAAAGACCTTGTTCTAGAGAGGAATCATACAGTCAATTTAAATTATTACAAAAGAGGTGAATTTATCATGAGATTAATTTTTTTTATTTATGATAAATATATTTATCATATAAATAATATTAATATGATAAATATATTAATTATGCAGAATGTCTGACAATTATACTGTCCAACACTGATTTTGTCTTTGGCTTGTGAGGTATGATCTCCAATGTATTTTTTGACGCTGAATACAATACTGTTCTCAAAATTTGCCTGTCACGTCACATTCTCGAGAAAATTGAGGTAACATAGGCCAAAAAGACGATTTTGCCCATATTTTGAATGGTATGGTTTGCAGTGAAGGAAAATTTATTTTTTCAATTTTGACTACACTGTTTTAAAGTGCTATCCTCTAGTTTCAAAATATATTTCTGTTTGTTTGTATACGATTTTTGAAAACCAACGTGGAAGTTACTACCATCTGACGCTTTGCCGAAAACATGCGTCTACTTATAACATTAAACTACGCGTAACCTATGACATTATTGCACTATTGCAGCCTTATTAGTCATTTTTGATCTATATTACCCGTTTTCTTACAATTGTAACGTGATAGTCAGATATTTTTGATTGATTTTACAACAAATTCGTGTTCAGTAGGCAGAAAAACATCGGAAATGACTATTCACACTCATGATAAAAGTAGTATTGTACAATGATATTGATGTTGAGCGCGAGTTTTTAATTTTAACTAAATTTTGAAAACAAGCAATCATGGTGAAACGAAACAAAATGCATTTTAAAGCTAAAAGTTGATACTTTTGCATGGCATTAACGAAATTTGTAGAAAAAATTTACTGCCGGTGGTATAACATCATGAATACCCTGGAAATCGTCATTTTTTACGCCTTTTACGCCATTTTTCTCAAAATTGTGACGTGATAGAATTTTTCTGCAAACGGATTCGAATTCAGAGGCCAAAAATCTTCGGAAAATAATACTCCGTAATCCAAAGACAAAAAAAAGTCAAATTTTGTCATACCCATTACGCGCAGGTAGACAAATCTACGTGGCTATTTGCAAAATGGTAGAAAACTTTTTCGTTGAGTTTGACGCCATTAAAGCTCATCCATCGTATCGCGCGTGATCATTCACCAATCTTCTTTGATTAATAACTCAAAGTTTTACGTGATTGTCTGGGAAATGGTAGAGCAATTTTGTGTTCAGTTTGATAAATTCCATCTGCAGACAACAGACATGTAATGAATTGTCAGACATCCTGTATATCGCTATAATTCATGTTCAATTAATACTTTATTTTTATATTTGTCACCGCATCGACTCTTCCCAGTTTTCCATAGCGTTCAAGAGTAATGAAAATTCATGGAAGCGAAATATCGAGGAGAAATATGACAGATTATTTTATCGAGATATTTTATCCCCCGGCAGGTGCGCAACGCCATCCAAGCGTTGCAGATGCTCGCCTGCTCGCCCCAGAGCAACCCGAATCTACCGACCCCGGCGAACCGCGGCAGCGGGGTTCTGGCCAGGAGCTCGTCCCATCCGCCGGACGCAATTTGCTGGAACCCGCCGGCGAGATTGATCGACGCATCGACGCAGACTGACTGGCCGGTGGACCTGTTTGAGGCGTGGGTGCGCGCGAATCCTCACAGGGTCCTCAAAGTCCTCAACCTCGATCCGGATCAGCTCCTGAGGCTACACCCGTCGTCGCCTACGCCGTCGCCGTCTTCGCCTCCGCCGCCTCCGTACGAACCCTTGTCGCCACTGGTGGCCACGCCGCAACAATCGCCGTCGCGATCTCTAACGACAGGTAATTACGCTCTGAATGCTAGACGGGTCTTCTTCTTAATGCGCCGGCAGCATTCGTAAGCGAGATCGCGGACTGTGAGGGTATCGTCGTGGGGATTTATTAACGAGATAGCTTGTAAAGCTAAGACGCTCTCGTTAAAAGCCTCGAGCTTGCCCGTGTAGAACAAGGGCGAGCCGGTCTTATTCGATGGGTAATAATTTATTGTAATTGTGCCTTAATAGACGTCGAATCCCAGACAGACAGAAATGCTGAACACAATAGCATGCAAACATTCAATACACACTTTGTGATGCTGTTGTAATAACATGTTTAAGATATGTTCGTTTTTGAAAATATCCAATTGTAACATCAAGATATTTACTCATTATTTCGACAATAATTTCGAGTTAATTGTGTCCTCTTGCCGGGAAAATAAGCAGCAATTTTCATGGTATAACATGACTTCTTTTATATACTGCATAAGTTCTTATTACGAATTTTGATCATATGATGAAGAGAAGGTAGAGAAGAAGAAAGAGAGACTCTGTCGTTCCATTTTTTCATGTACGATGGAAGCAAACACAACGAGTTAATGCAACTTCCTTTATTTTTCGTCGAGGATTTAAAGAATATTCACTAGAATGATAAATTTTCTCTTCCCCATTCTCTGTTTCTTTCTTCTCCTTTCCATTTTACAAAGTGTAATGTGATAACACCGCCATCACCATGAAGCCGCTTAAAAAAGCGTGAATTACACACGCTTGCGAAAGAAAGCGCTTCTTACGGAAAAAAAGTACCCGCGTTTCTCTTTTCTACCAGGGAAATAATCGGTGTATCACGGAGAAAATACGTTTTGCGCGGACGAGGACGCCTGAGAGTCGCGCTGCACGATATACCGCGGCCACAACCTTTTCGAGAATAGGAATATTCTTTTGAAGTGAAAATACTCCCTGGTGGCTGGCGCGGTTTTTCCCATTACGTTCTCACAGAAGACAGACAAGTAACATAGGGCAAAGATATCATGTTGTGGGAGTCGCCCCCGTTTCCATGAGGGATAAAGGGTTACGCGGCAGACTTTAACTCCCGAAGGGGAGTCCTTTGGCAAAGGGGACACCTTTCACCTTATCTTCCTACACGGAACGTCCCCTCGCGTACGAGTCACTCGCATATTTGTAACGAATATATTTGTAACAAACGTTGTAACGAACGTTGTATCCTTCCCGAACGGTGCTCTCGCGACATTTTCTTCCGCAGAAATATCTCCGCTCGAGGAATGAGTGCGTTGCGCCTGAAATTTCGTAGCGACTTTACGCGCAGGACGATAAAACTTGTTTGCATGAGGAGCATCATTGGTCGCGAGGATAAATACAGAAGCACTGAGCTAAAAATAAAAAAAAACTTCAAACTTTTTGAAGGTTTAAACCAAGACTTACTAGTCTTCCTAATCGTCTCCATTTGAATGTATTTGAATGTAATACGATACGATGTAATACTAGTTGTACGTGATGTGTAATATGACATGGTTAAGGTAAAGTAGTTAAGGTTAGTATGACATAATATGTAACATCAAGCTGTCAAAATAACAGATTGCTTGAGTAATCAGCGATAACAATGAGAATTCGTATCCAAACGCGACGCGAATAATTGGAAAGATCAGTGAGATCTGATCCAGTCGATATTAAGACTTTATCGAAGTTTGGAACACCAAATGACAAATGTGACGTAACGCAACGATGTCGATCACCTTTCGTCGCGGTTACGCGCTTCCCCGAGTTCCCCGACGAGAAGTGGCGGGTGATGAAGCAAGATATATTTTGCGAGGTGACATCTACAGACGTCGATATCTGAAGACGCTTGTAATCGATCGATTTCAGGAAACGACCACTACAATTCGGAGTTACGTGATGTTCCGCACATTCCCCGCTTATGCAGGCCGCCGAACTCAGCCTGGGGCCCCGACAACAAGCAGTCGCACCGCTTCAGCGCAGGCGACGCCGAAAACGTGTCCTTGTACCAGGCGCTGCGACGTCTTCCGGAGTCACGCTCATTAAAGTTCGATCCTTACGACAGCTGAGCTGCCGTTAGCTACGAGTTCGCGACATTCGCCGGTAGACGGTCGAGACAAACGGACGACGAGGGGGACATCGCCGTGTCGAGGACGGAACGACGAGCTCACGATTGACTCCATCAGATTTCATTCTTATTGGTAAAACGACCTCGCGCATGTGTACTAATTTGGTCGGTGCTCCTCGATGTGAAAATGACAGCGCTCCTCGTTCATAGAGTGCAAGGAGGGAAAAGAGAGGAAAATTCTTCGTCTCTCGATTTTTCCACTGAGATTTTATTTGACTTTACGCTTTCGTTGCTCCTAGAGAATCTATCTGAATAACGCCGCGACGTCGCATCATTTCGCAGTCGTGGTCGCACGAAATTACGTGCTAGGTTGCTGCAAAAGGTTTTACGTTTATAAAGTTTATTTCTTGTAAATGAACTTCATGTCGTATAAATGAATTTTCAAGTATGTTTCTCTCAGCGTGTTCTTTCAGACGTCTAACGAGGAGTTCCTATTTTCCCTCAAAAAAGAAAATTTTCCACGAGAATTTAATGGGAAAACAAATTTAATAAAAGAAACATCAAAAGTTTTACACCAACCTAATGATAGCAGGACGGAACGAAATTATCCTCAACCAAGTAAAGAGCTCGGCGCATTTAGTCGTGAAGAATCGACGATACTCCGCAATAAAGAGACTTGAACTTGACTGACGAGGACGCATTCGTAGGTCGGAGGACCCTCGTGGTTTCGAGCCACGACCGGTATGTCTCACATGCAAATGCGAGCCGTAACAATCGTTCGTTTACGCAACAGTGTATGCAGATTGACGTTTACGTTTCCTTTCCTCGGTAATGTTAATCCGTGATCTCGTTGCGCCGCTTAACTCTCGAACGTTGGAACTCGCACCGCGAAATTATACGCGCGCTCCGCGAACTCACGACCAGCTCGATCGTAAAACGAGGCGAATTAATGATAATATTCGCAAACGGAGAACGTAATATGCATATCAAAACGCACGTGGCTCTCGCGCTTAAGCGGAAGCAGAAATACTGGAATTGAAAACTGAATCAATCGGAAAGAATAAAAACATCTTCTTTCCGATAAAAACATCTTCTTTCCTTTTCCTATGTGCGCGATGTGAAAATGTCAGAGCTCTCCGTGGACATATTAGCGTCTCGTTTATTGCAGAACACGTAACTCATAATAATATTTCCCATCGTTCACTCGTCGCGTCAAATAATAAGTGAATATTATATGAAATATTATATCAAAGAGCTTGCGAAAGCGCGCCGGATCGTTGACTTAAAGAATGAATAATTTTACAAACATGGATTTATGTCGAATCACCTGAAAGGTGGCGGCAGAAGATAGGTAAGGATGGCGGATAATTTAATTGGACATGGCATTTTGTTAACAGAAATTAACAAATCGAAATTTAAAAAATGAATGGGGAGATACAGCTAAAAATCCGGTGAAATTTTGTATGTCTCCAATATCAATATCTCGTCTATTACAACGTGGTGAATCTCGTGGTGAATTCCCTTCAGCGTTCACCTCGCGCTTGATAAACAACAAATAAAATATTTCCACGAGAATTTCAACGTCGCATTGATATATCTCTCAGTAACGCGAAATACCATCGAGAAGCTTCGAGAGTTAAGGGATACTTCGAATTGTCCTAGGCATTCCTCACTGCCAAACAGGATAAAACCTGACTTTATACATCCCCTCCGAGTTGTTCTTTCATTCCCAACGACGAGCTATCTCACCGAGTGAGTAGCCAGCAAAACACCAACTACCAGTAACGTAACGTCTATAATTTCCCATTCCACAATATAAGTGCAATAAAAACACGTGCGTTATGTAACAGTTGCATTGTTGAGAAGGAAATTATAACATTGACGCAATGTTGCTGTTAGTTGGCGTTTATTGGATTTTACTTGTTTACAAAAAGGAAAGAAGAAAAGGGAAATGAATTCTCTCGCTTACGTCATTCCACGCGCGTTATCCTTTCAACTGATCCACACAAGACGATTGCACGCGATCGTGCGTTAGGAAAATTATTAGTTGCGCTTCAAAACGAGAAATAAAAGAGGGAACTGCCCGAGTATCGAGACTTTACAATTCGCTTCTGCAAACGCCGTCTATACTACATAACGATAATTGTATTCTAGCGTTTTCTACTTAAGCGTCGAACGACACGCCCGTTTCCTTTCTCGATAGATAGTCGAGCGCGAACGCGCGCTCAGTGCTTGATGAAAAAAGAAAAGAACAAAAAAAACAGAAAATACATAAAATAAAGGGAATAAAATTGGTCTTCGCCGATAATGAGGCGTATTAATCGTTAAGTTGCATGTCTCCATGCCGCTTTAGGAGAGAGAGGCGATTCCACGTGTGTATTATTCGCGCGAATCGAGTCGTTAATCCGAGATATCGCGGGAGGATATTCTAGGGGTAGCAATAATGTGCACGACACATTCTCGATGTACACCGTCTACGTCCAATCTAGAGTGTAGAGTTAGTTTTTAAGTAGATACAAGACGAGAGACATTGAGGAAGTAACTTAGCAAAACGGCACGTCGTCGCGCGGCATGAGACGACGATAATTCTGAGGAGGTGAATGAGGAGGAGGTAGAGGAAAAGAAGAATGGGAAGGAGGAGGAGAGGAGGTTGATATGATTCTTGGCACGCCGAGGGTGGGTGTGTGTGTGCATGTGCGTGTATATGGGTGGGCGGGTGTGGATGTGTGTGTGCGTTTTCGGCGGAAAATAAAGATTCAAGTCTACATTCGTCGGATATCTGTGTCCACTAAAAGCTGCGTGTCGCGAGGATCTTGTCTGTCTGACGGCATTATTACACGTAGGCTACTTCTCGTACTAGGCTAGATCAATCGTACGTGTATATACGTGAGGAGGGACAGGGGGACGGGTTGAGGTGTGCGACGTGTTGAAAGGACGATGATATGTGATAAGGCACGGCTTTGGCCATGCACAACTGCGTTCGTTTGACTCCTGTCGGTATTTGCGAAGAACACGACGCATGTCACTTTGCAATACGGAGCCAATGCGCTCCATTTCTTCTTCTTTTCATCTTTCTAGGTCTTGGCACCTATTGCCAACTTGTACATGAAGAAATTCGATAGTAAGGTAAAGATATCAACGCCTGGACATTAATAACACTGGTGCTTAATTCTGAACATTCTTATCGTTCTGGTCTTTAAACACGAATATTTAAATTTCCAAGGTAGAATTATTATGCAGGATTATGTATTAGTGTTATCAGTGTCCAGGCATTGGTACTTTTACAGACCTCGATATGCATATCGATATGTGTATCTTTATCGACGATTCCTTGCGAATACACAATCAGAATTGCCAGTCATAATCTAATGATCTAATTAATCTAGAGACTGACCAAATTTGTCGAATCGTTAATTAGCTCGGAGGATGAGCCATTTTACAGGCATAGGATCGGATAATTATCTGAAAATTAATGGAAAATATGATTAATGAGGGAAGATACTTTGCAATTTTTCATTATTGATGAAAGAAATATGGCCGGGCATCCAAGTGTGGCAAACTTCTAATAATATCGATATCCATTTAATCGTAATCCTTGCTCATTCCCCGATCGACATCATTTCGCGCAGGAAATTGATAATCGATTAGAGTCCTCCGCGCGCGGAGGTGGTGAAACTTTTTGTTGGACGTGTGATCGCGAGGCGAAGAGGTTCTCTCGCAACTACCGACGGGGGCAGCTGTTTTATAAATATTTCATATATTTTGTTATACTGTTTCTATGCTCCTCGCGCAATTATAATTCAAACTAAGTGTATTATAAAACGTTGTATCTAAAACACTCCTCTCTCACGACTTCTATATAACTTTTTACACACTTCTACACGCCGGGCCGCGGTGAGAGCGAGTAGCGCGACACTCTCCCGGATATTCTATATATACGTAAATATACATATACATATATATGCCGTAATAAGATCGAGAGAGTAAGCACAAATATAAAATAAAACGATATATTCTTCCTAATGTATTATTATCCGCTCTTGCGCGAGAAGTCGCCAGGACCTCGCCTTGAGAGAACACTCCGTGCGAGATCGCGCACGCCGATTGACATCGTGACGACGACAACGACGACGATAAGGACGAGGACGACGCTGTGCTTCGCGTTAATCCCTTACCGCGTAGATAATTCTCCGTCGTGTGTGAGCTCGCGCTCTGACGCGGGTCGCGTTTAAAAGTACAAGAATAGATTAAAACGGATTACTCTCGCTATTCTACCTCTTTAGCGAAAAAGAAAGGAGAGAACGTGTAGAATCTAACGTTTCTATCGGCAATAAATAATACGGCGTGTCTCGTCAACAGACAGTTCTGCATCGCGAAACGACGTATTTAGTTATTTTCCAGAATTAATTCTAGGGGGAGGGGGGCGGGCGGGCGAGGGAAGGAGGGGGGCGAAACTGTGCTCGGGAAAATTTCTTAAGAAATAAAAATTATAACAAAAATTTTGTGCACAAGGAAGATTCGGTAATTTGCGAATTTAAAAGAATTGGAAATTTTGCAAGAAGAAAGAGCGCTATTTTTATATGCTATTTTCTGTTTCCACGGAGAAACGGGTCTAGAGGCGGGAGAACATATTCAAAGAGAATATGGAAATATTTTCTATTATTTTTTACGGAGCTTTTCACACGACATATGTTCTATCTCTTGAACTGTGAAAGATTCTGAAAAAAAAATAAGTCGAAAATTCAATAGTGTTTTATATTTCATGATACTGTGATAAAAATTGAGGGCAAAATTTTTAAATATTCTTCCCACCATTCCTTGATCTCCCGAATTTGCTTCTCATCAGAATCTGCGTGCTGCTGAACCTTCCTTGTCAGATATTCAATCCGTAAGGAATGAAAAGGGCCAATGAGAGCAGATCAGACGTCTCGGTCGCTGGCTCTCTTTACTTCTTGCGACTTGTCAAAGAGATTACACATTTTTATAGTGGAGTGTCGTCTTTTATCTGTCGTGCCGCGTGCGTCACTGTCACACTCGCGCGGCACGCTATGCCGTAAGGGGTTAATTCAGAAATATTCGACACATGTGTACATATTATTAAGTATACCCACGCCGTAGCTCGCGCGCAGCAACGAGCCACGAACTTACGTGCGTGTGTGTGTGTGTGCGTGCGTGCGTGCGTGCGTGCGTGCGTGCGTGCGTGCGTGCGAAATCGGACCGCGAGATCGCTCGTGTACGCATTGCCGAGAGTTCGGCGCGCTCGTGCTTTTATCATCATTGTATATTCGTCAACCGAACTAGTTAGGGGACACTTGAAGTGACGGCCTTAAAATAAAGATTTATTTTTTTCACGACGATAAATACCTGCGCCGGCGGCGGCTGAGCGTGCCGCGAAGCGATCTTCTAAAAATGATTCGCTGAGCGAGGTATACGAAACGGAAATGAAGCTGAAATGGATCTCTATCTTTCTCTCTCTGTCTTTCTCTTTATCTTTCTCTTTCTATCTATCTCTCTATCTTTCTGTCTCTTACTCTCTCTCTCTCTCTCTCTCTCTCTCTCTCTTTCATTCTCCGACGAGGCTAATCCTTACGAGAAATATTCAAACGTTTGTAAATATTTTTAAACACTTATACAATGTGCTTATAAGTGGCATTCTTTGTTCGACACAAATGGGTTACGAATAAAATAAATGAAATAAATAAAATAAAAAAAAAATAAAATAAATGAAATAAAAAGTAATTGTAAGGAGTATCATGCGTGTTTTGCTCTTGAAACTTCCGTCCCGAAAGTATTATGTCCTCTGTTAACAATAACGTAATACAATAATATATAATAATATATATAATATTATATCATACTATATGACTAAATTATATTGTGTAAGCTACAATAATTATTGGTATGGTAAAAAAATAATTATATATTATATTTATATATATTTAATATTATATAAGATATTATATATACAATTATATAATGTCGTTATAATAATACAATATTAAAGAAATATAATTTTGGCGGATTTGCCAACATAAGCGCACAAACGAAAGACAAGCATCCCATTGCTGTAAATGAGCTTGCAGCAGTTGTTGAGTCTAAAACATCACCGAGTAAGCGGATTCATGGTTGCGAAGAGAGAATCAATCCCCAAGAGACAATTCAACAAGAGATGCAGAGGGAGAGGGAAGGAGGAGAAGCCAAAGAAGTTCTGTTCCACAGAGTTACGGAATTCGTACCGCTGACTTCTTCACTCGGCTGCACTTGCAGATTGCTTTCGCCCTTTCTTCAGATCTCCGTCCGTCAGCTGTTCTGTCCGCGCGACAGGTGAAGACGTGGGTCAGGTAGAAGCGAGGTCGCGTCAGGTCGCGGCGTTAACTCTGAAGAGCGCTTCTCCAGCGGCGGCTGGTGTTGGAGCGCGCTCACGAACGCAAGGTGCACGACAGACATCTCGTCCGCGTATTCGGGAGCAGAAAATAAACGTGTTATGCGGGGCTCGCGGCGGTCCATTTTTGGGATCCCCACCAGGGCGAGCGGCGGCGACGCGCCGCGTCCTTCCGCGCGCACTTTTCGTCCGGAGGCTTTTCCGTTCTCCGCTCAGATACTCGACTCGCGCTGCTCCGATCGGCTCGAGTTAGGTAAGTGCAGCAATATCATTGTTATCAGCATCATCGGCACTATTATCAGCACCATCATCGTGAGCGACGCGCTTTTGTTGCCGTGATAACGCTTCTCTTGCCTTTGCTCTTGCTCTCCCTTTCTCTCTCTTTCTCTCTCTTTCTCTCTTCCTCTATCTCACCATTTCTCTCTCTTCTCTCTTTCATTCTCTCCTCAACCTGTGTCTATGTGCTTTGCCGCGAAATGACGATTCTCGCGAATGAAGATCGGCGAAAGATGAAGACATGAAGAAATGGACACTCACGTGACTCAAACTGGAAACTAACTAGTGAACTCCTCTCCCGAGGAGCCTTCTCAACCCTTGGAATTCATTCTGGAGATCGTCACGAGTAGTGTTCTCAAGATGTGATTCATCGCGCGAATCAGGTCACCAACCGTCCACAGGCAAAAGGACGACAGTCATTAAATAAAGTTAATTAGTGTCATCAAAGCGTGCAGAAACATGCGCTTTGACGAGAACGAGGAGGAGAAGAAGAGTATAGAGAAGGAGACCAAACGCCTTGGAAAAATCGAAATATCGAGCTAGATACAGTGCAATGGAGAGCCAAGCAACGGCTCCGCTGGCGGACCAAAATAAATCCGTTTACTCCGATCGGCAATCCGTCCGCGCGCCGTTTCAAATATTGAACGCGTGTGTTTACGGATGTTGCGATAGAATTGGTTTACGCTGGGATTCAACGGCGCGTGGCACGTTTGCTTCTTGCAGGGAGACGGGATGTTTGATTTTCACGAGGATTTGCGCAATCCCGCGCGTGGAGATTCTGACCCGGACGGAGCTCTCTTCATGGCCAGCTTCCTTAACCGCCGCGCCAAATAATAACAGCTATTTCTCTCTTTCCCGCTGCTAACGCTTCAGGAATTTGCTTACCGGCTTAACACGATGGCGATAGTGTAAGTAGCAAATTCTAATGTCGATGTGTGTTTGTGTGGGTGTGCTAACATTAGTTACGTTATTTTGCACCTCGCTAAATCCAAGACGTGAAATAAAAAAGCAATCCTACTTTCCCCCCTTCGCGATCTTTCGCGACGACCCCAAAAAGACGCGGAAAGGAAGTAATGTAATTAACAGTAGCGCCTTACCTTCGCGCAAACTACCCTCCGCGGCGAGGAGGTGATGTCACTTTGACATCGCATGGCGAGTGTAAGCAACTGCGGACTATTAATATCCCCGAGACCGAATGTTACGTTTTCCGAGTCAAATATGAACTCCAATCTCAATTCTGGAATAAACGGCAAACATTGAACGCCGAGTAATTATCGTTGAGCAAAATTTTTGTTTTAATTTTCCCTCAGCTCAATTTCAGTTTTCCTTGAATCTTTCTCTCCCTCTCTCTCCCCTCTTCGGTATGTCGCGGAAAATATATATTATTTAACGAAAACACAACGGATATAACGCATTCCCTCGTTCTGCTTCTCCCTCTCTTTCTTGACATATTTTTTCTTCTTTCTTACGCGAGATGCCGTTATTCAGAGTCGCGCACGTCGAAAATCAATATGACATTTTACATTGTTATGCATACACGCGACTATCCTCTTAAGGGCATTTCCGCTTTAAACGTGCGCTCCACGCGGACTATGCGTCGTCGTTTCGCATTCCCGCTAGTGTTACATAGAAACAATTTGACCGCTGCTTCATATCGCAAATGCAAACCAGAGATAACGCCGACATTTACATAACGACGTTTCTTACGCAGATACATTACATCGCTCCCCCTTGGCCCACTTGCGTCAAACATTTCGTAATAGTAAATTTCCTACGCTTTAGAGGACCATCTTCCGGATGAGATAAATTTGTAGATAGGCCCCAAAAAGCTCGGCTCGATCTTTTCAGTGGACGGTGCTCCCACGTATTATACAATGTCTCGATAATGTTCGACTGCTGGAAAATTGTGATATGAAAATTATATTATATATGAGAGAGATATAATTATAATACAAAATATTATAAATTTCATCACATCGTGTAATATAATATATAATTATTTTATTATATAATATAATAAGATATATGCAATAATCATACATAATTATTTTATTACATGATACAATAACGCGCCAAATAATGTTTGATTATTTTATCATATAATATAATATGATACGTAATAATCATATCAATAATAGAGACAACGAGACAGTAGCTTATGATTGTTTATTCAATGGCTAATTATGAATAAATACGATTGATTTTCTCGAAGAGTGAATCGTTTTTGTTGAACACGACGAAAGGAAATTCCACACTTGAAAGTCGAGCTGAATTGTTTGAGCGCGACTTGAGAAATAAAATAGAAAACATCCCAGCCGCGGATAGCTGGCGGATTCGCGGTCGCAAGATCCGCGCGCTGGATGGTCGCGATCGCGAAGTTTTGTAAATGCTATTAATACGCGTCGGTTAGATCGAATGTCGGTCGGCGGTGGCGGCCAAGTAAAGCCCGTTCTTCTGGGTTACAAACTCGCAGTTTTGGCCCCTTCGTGCGCCACACGAAGCGTCAGTGAGCCGCCGCCGCCGCCGCCGCCGTCGTCGTCGTCGTCGTCACCGTCGTCGTCGTTATGCACATATTTATAGAATCGGGCTGTAGATGCTATTTCCGTAGACGCCCCGATGTGCTCTCCTCCTCGTGCTTGCGCGTTCAGCGCGATCAGCTACCCGGAATTATGGCTCGCAGAACGTCCAGCCCGATGTTCTGCGAGCCGCGCATACCTTTGCTGCAAAATGCAATCCTGCCAAAATATGAAGGTTCCTGCTGGAATCTGCAATGTC